ACGTCTGTAACTCAGGAAATGTTTAACATTTAAGAATACAACTCACCCTTCCAAGTTCTTTATTAAAGTCTTGAAGAATAAAAAGCCGTCAAGAATTTGCGGACAACATTAGCCCTTGCGACTCCTGACTTTTTATAAAAATACTTTCAAGATGTCGCGGCCTGCGTTTTGAGGTCAAGTCGCCGGTAATGCCGCTTTGCAAAAAATATCTGGAATATTCCATAGGGAATTTTATGCTGGGGTTGAATTGACTTTTACAGGACGGCAGTTAGTTACGAATCTTGATGATAATTACTGTATTCTGACAGCTATTGAACATTTTAGGGGAAAATTGTCGGTGTATTATTTGTCTTTCATATAATTTTTTATATGATAGCCTATTACTAGATGACACTATTACTTTTTATAGGGGTTTTTTAAGGGGGAAATTTATCGAATGGCTGCTCCCGCCTGGTTGAGGCGGGAGGGAGTGTCAGACTCTTACTGACTAAATTTTCTCTCTTACAGACTCTTAATGTCGAATTAGGTTAAGTTATCTGTAATGGCAAAGTAATTGTATTAAATTAAATTAAAAACCACCCCGTTCCTTCTCCTGCACATCGAGCCGGAGCCGCGGTTACCCGTTAGGTTCTCCGCGACACTTTTTACAGGGGTAAGTAGAGATTTAATTGATAATATAAACACAAACGTTGGCTTTTCTATCCATCAATAACAGTAATTTATCTAGAAAGAAGAATGCTCACTAGTTATAGACACATTATGACACGTGATCCCATATCTAGACCAAAATACAAACAAAAATAAAACCAAAAACTTATCCCAAATGGACCACTCACTTCGCAAAATAAACACAATGGACTGCAAAGAACTATTCAACAATAACCATTCAGTGTGCTTCATAAGCTGTTTAAAAGCAATCCGGTTTGCGTTCCGATCCCCCTCCGGTGCCGGACGAAATCATTCGGAATAATTGACCTTATTACTCCACAATGAACGGAAATATCCGTGTGCCGCAAACTTTATTTGGTCGGCTGTCGGATTGATGTAAATGTTATTAAGATAGGACGGGTAAGCTGATTGCGTTGATAGTCAAGTTGTATATTGTGAGGCTGTTCATCATGAGTTTTTTGACCTGGTTTGTTAAGCCTAGAACTGTAGAAGGTAAGTTTGGTAAACTGCTAAAAGGCAGATACTCCGCTAACGTAGGTTACCGGTGACCTACGTGGCGGTTATCCTGTCAACGGTAACGTAGCTAGTGAATCCCGTTTTGACTTTTCTGTTAGTTAAGTAACCAGCAGCTGTAGCCAAATGCCATTTACTACATGTAGAATAGAAAACCAAATTATAAGGATTTTTTTTATTTTTATGGCATAAGCCGGTAAACGAGCAGACAGATCACCTGATGGTAAGCAATCGGCGTCGCCCATGGATACCTGGAACACCAGAGGCGTTACAAGTGCGTTACCGGCTTTTTGGGGATTAGGAGTTTGGGGATCGTTGGGGATTCAGCGATTGGGGAGATTGGGGAAGGGGAGGGTAATTGGGCCTCCGGTAACCTCACTCACACGACGAAACACAACGCAAACATTGCTTCACGTCGGTTTTCTGTGAGGCCGTGGTATCACTCCGGTCGAGCCGGCCCATTCGTGCCGAAGCATGGCTCTCCCACACTTAAAATTGACTTGAAATTGAATTGACGTAAATTTTGACACTTGTCAGTATCATACATTTTGATTTCTACTCTCTCTGTAGACAAGCGCTAAAGTGGCGTTTGGCTAAAGGCCCTGTATATGAAGTTTAAATACTTACTATATTACTTTGACAACTGGTAAAATATTGGCTTTAAATTATTACGCTCAAAGTATGAGTTCGATTGTAAGCTTTGATTCTCAATTTGATAACAACTGTTAGGTATATATGTAGTTCATATTACAGAAAAATCTAAATAAAAAAATTATTATTAAAAAAACAAAATACCCGACTGCACACTAAAAAAAGAGTAAAACAAGCCCCACAATAATATTGATCAATCAAATGCTAAAAACTAATTATGTAATACCGTTTAAACAATACCTATATTAAAATACACTACAATATGTGTTCGTAATCGATAGTTAAATAAACAGAAACTTATTTTGAATACAAATTTACTGAATATAATTTATAAATGTTGATGGAAAGCATCGCAGGCGGGGACCAACAGAGGCTTATTTATAGTCATTTCGGTTGTGCACCATTTAGCAGAATTTTCGTTGGTGGCGGTCAAGGTATTTATAACTTTTTAGCTGTTTTTATTTAACGAAAATGTTGTAGATGTAGAAGACTATGTATATGTAAGTACCATTTTAAATTATTTCGACGACATTTGGCTTTAGATTACGAGTGATGTTACTCCGCAACATAAATTTACCGCCAATCTGGGCTGTTGGTAGTGAAGAAGAATTAGAAAGAACGAATAAATTTAAAGAGAGAAACACGAAAGAAAAAAAAAAGAACGAGTTATTTATACTTTATAAGTTTCGCGTCAGACGACGAAGTATCGAAAAAATCGCTATTTAGAGACGACCGTCAACGACGTGTGCCCTCATGCGTGTGCCCGCAATCGGGCTGTATACTCGAGCATATCCCCCTCCGCACCGCGCCGCGCGCCGCATGCCAGGCCACGCCCTATCTTTTTGCTTGCTAACGCATGAGTTGCTTTGCGTTGACGCAGAATTAACATGTTCCCGTGGGAATTTTGAGAAAGAACGTATCCTATATTAATTACTCCCGTGATTGAAATGAATCTAATGATACCGCATACATATTTTTTTAAAGGGAAATTTAGAAAAAATATTATTATGTCTTTATCCCGTGGGACTTTTAGGATAAAATGTATCCTATGACACTCCCGTAATCAAGACAAATCTAACGATACCTCATACATCAAAATCCATCAAGCCGTTTAGGCTACAGGTGGTCACAAAGGAAAAGACATACATACATACTTACATACACTCGAAAAACATTACCCTCCTTCTTTGGCAGTCGGGTAAAAAAGATCATAACCTAATCGATTAACAGTCGGGTAAAAACTTATTCTTATTCACTATTTTCAGAAACGCCTATACCAACTCGTCTAAAGTTAAGTACACAAAATATTTCTTTTAAGTCTTCGGGTTTCAGATTATCTAACATCATGCAACAACCCTTCAGAGCGAAGCAATTACCATACAAAATTTACGTGAGAATCGCTAAGCTCCCATAGGAACAATGAAAAAATCCTCGTGAATATTTTCAGAATATTTTTACAAAAGAAAATATCACCTTTTTCTTAGTAAAGACCTCGACAAATGTTATGTAGTGACAAATAAATGTTATTTCTGAAGAACAAAGCAGGTTTCAGATGTCTTTCATTAACTCAGTCGGGATTAAACTATAAATTATGCTGAGGACCTATCTCCCTGGGGTGCAGTCTTTAGATTAAATGACGGTTTTATTATTAATTTTAACCTGAGATTATTTTTTTGCTATATTTTCTTTCAACTTAATATATCTCGTCTTTAATATCAGTTACTTTAAGTTTATTTACAACTGAAGATTTATTTATTAAATGGCTTATAATAAATATTTTGGTTTATTGATTCAATTATAGAAAGCTGCCTTTTAAGGTTTACATAAGTCTATGTGACTCATTGTTAGAGTCATATGTTTTATGTTATAGAAAATCGTGACGTGTGATTTCTTATTTGTATTAAATTTTAACCAACTTTGTTTGAGACTCAGAGAAGAAACAAATCAAATTGGAGAATAAGCAAACTAAAGAGGGTTTCCATCAAACAAACAGAATATAGTTAGCTGAATAGAAATATACAACAAAGATAATAAGGCGAGACTTTGAACAGTTTCATACTTATTTACCTTACTTCTTCAATAAAAAGAAAATAACAATATTACGTCAAAACGCGTCCCATTATTTTTAAAGAGCACCAACTCTTTTATCATATTTTATTCCTGCATTTTGAATACAAAAGATAAAATATTTTTAAAGCGAATTTAATTCTCTTTTGTAACTCCACGAAAAAAGGATAAAAACCTTCTTATGGGATTTAGTAAATCTGGGATTTAAAATCCTTTTGTAAAGAGACAGTTTCAATACCTAAACATGTTATTAGTTCACTTTTCTTTGGCAGAATAATAATATCGCTTCTTAGGTGGGTAGGACAAATGGGCAACAATCATAAAAGTTTGATTTTGAGATTCTTAATATTAATAAGCGTATTATTTGCTAATGTATGTAGATATAAGGCACAAGAAAGCATTATGCTGCCCTCTTACAAACCAGGATTGCAGCTCTGTAGCTGCAAAATATACAGATATTCCACTCGGCAAATTAGCAAACGTTATTCGTTATGACAAACTTTATGTATTATAAACGTTATTGACTTGGCTATATTGCTTCTACTCGTTATATATGAGTAAGTATCAAAAGTTATTTGTCAAAGATCTTTAAGTCCGTATATTAAAGACATCGTGGTTATTCAAAGTATAAAAGGCTCACCAAGTTTGTAGTCATCCTAAACTAACATAAACGTGTATCCGGGGTGGAATGTTTGGCGACTTGAAAGTTATATGTATCTACTTAAAATTTAATGTGTTTTAGATACTTAACATTGCGAGGAAGATCTGTTTGGGTTTCTTATTACGATAAGAACATAATTCGTCTCATTGTGTTGCTATCTTGAAGAGTTTGGAAGAGGTGGACCACCAAATAACACAATATCAATGAAAATTCGAGAACCACATATTGGCTTGAGGGCGAATAGCTGAGAGAGGTGAAATATTGAGTGAGATACGAGTTTATGTTTAAAATCTCATTGACGGGTACAGGAAAGTCTACTAAGTGATAAAAAAACAACGCATTTTCGCTCTTAAACATATACATATAAGTAACATTATTATTAGTTTGGAATACCAGGGATCCAATACTTAAGTTCTAAATAAGGTATAAAGATATTTACCTAAGGGCGGCCTTGTCACATGCATCGGGCGTGTCGACGGCGGGCAAGTGCTCGGTGTCTAAGTCAAGTGAGTCGAGTTGTTCATCAGTGGGTGTGGGACAACTCTCAGCCTTACTGCGGCTTGAGGAGCGGCGCACGATTGTCAGGGCACCTTGTTCTGTTGACAAACGAAAATTGGATTAAAATGAGACTTAATACAATAATTTGATGGTTGGAAATAGCAATGTTTTAGTTTATGTAACTTCGAATCTAATAGTGCGGCCACGTTAGATGAGGAGCAAAAGCACCGCTCGCCAACTGTTTACGAGCGGCACATTCACCAGATATCGTATCATTCGATATCAATTTAGCAAATAATCTAGTCAGTTTTGGTGACTATATTTTGTGCTAAAACATTACTATTTTTTAAGGAACGGAAAATCTTCAATTATCATAAACAGAAGTATTAATAGTAAAATACCAAACAACCAGATTAAAATAAAACTCCTTCCACATGCAGATGCAAGGTTTATCTACAAAAATACAAAAAATCTTAAAAGAACATGCACATTCTGACGCAGTCAACAGTAATTAAAAAATGTGTAAGAAACGTGTAGAGCGACGAACGAAACGACGAAATAGAAGGGTATTAGGTCTCCATAATTATAGATAATATTGAGTGAAGAAAATTACACTATAAAGAAATTCATCACGATTATTTTTCTCTCAGGATAGTGTCCTGGCGTCTACGAAAAAAGTAGGAAAACATTAACAATTTTCTGTTGTTATTTCGATATAGTTTGGTGGTGAGAAATGATTAGGTACCTTTGGGTTCGTATGTATAAAGTTTTTTGTTACACTTTTTAGTATCACTATCACCATGCACAATAAAACAAAAAGGTTTTTCATAAACTTGCTCCAAACCACCACTACCAATAAAGTTTGTTTAAGCCCGCCATTTTTTTTCCGCATTCAGAATTTGAATCCCAAACATATCTAGATTCCACAGATGATATCGGTTTGTTTATTTTTCGTACTTCAAACGGCACGTGTGATTTTAAATTCAGAACGTGAATTTATTAGTCACCAGTATTTTATGCCTGCGTATTTTTTTTTTTATATTCCAACAGAACTCTTTTTTAGTTGATAGAATTTATAACATGCATTTTATCAGTACAGCATTTATCTCGAAGCGAAATTTTTAGTTAGAATGTTAGTAAAAATGCTAGATTTGTTAGTTTGTTAGATATAAAAATCTCTATTTTTCCCAAAAAATATGTACTCACGATTTTCTATAAGACTTCCGTGTTGACCTGAGAAAAGAAAATGAGAATGTAAAATGCTTTTTGTTTTCAATTATGTCTTCTAAGAACGTCTAATTATAAACCTTACAGAGTAAAAAGGAAAATGATTTTATTTTTAAATTCTCAGTATTTTCTCTAGGGTTTAATTAGATTTGTTGCGCTAAGAAAGTTTAGAGTCCTCTGAGACTTGTGAAGCGGCGTTTTGTGTCTCGTTTTAAGCTTTGCTTGTAAAATTATAAAAATAAAATGTTTAGTCTGCCTTTCAAAGCAGCCCTGGTAGTGCAGGAAAGTTATATTTTTGAACGAATTCTTAAAATAAACACATTTTTAGTCTTCATATAAATTGATGAGTTATTTGATGGCATGGCGCCTACATGTGACCATGTTCATAATTGACTTAAACTTTATAGTAACGCAAAAAACAATTTTAGACTGAAAAGTCTTTAACCAATAAATAATCTCAAAATCTTATATGCCTATTAGCAACTATCATCAGTGAGTCGAATTTGTACTACGTGGTTTATACCTACATTGTGATCGGCTAGATTCATCGCATTATTCGGCCTTTATCGGCTAGCTAAGTAATAATTTCGCTTGCATTAGCGGATTGCTCTAGCATTAGCATCAGTTTAGGCACTGCGAATAGTTGGCATGTAACAAAATTATTCGCATATTTCATGATTACTTAGTTGCTTTGGTGCAATGTGAGTTTATTGGTGGAAATTGATTTATGAATTGGTTATTATGGTCATTGATTTATGAGTCTGTTATATTTGGTAAATATAGTATGTTAATTTAAGAATGACGACGAATGTTTGGGCAACTATAACAATATGTAGTATAACAATATATATCAAATGTATAGTCTTTTTTTTTTGTTTTTTTGTTAATTTTGTTTCTTTATTGTATTAATTTTTATTTTTTGTATTTGATTACCTAATTAGTTTGTTTTTAAGTATCTAAATAATAGCATATATATAAGATTAACAGTATAACTTAATGGCGTAAGCTGTGGTGTTATATATGTACATTTTCAAATAAATAAATAAATAAATAAATATTAAACCATAGCAACACTCAGTGAAAGTACGTTGAATGTCATCAGCTGTGATCGAGTTTGTTTTCCGAATCGTTTTTTGTTAAAAAGTTACTAGATTTGAATTTAAGTAAATAAAACTTAGAAGGAGTTTATTAAAAATGTAAAAGAACAATTTGAGTGATGGAGGAGTGGAGCTCCACTGATTGTATTTCGAGTATAAAGTGATTTTCAATAGAATAAAAAAATGGTCAAATTTTATCAAAATACTATTAGGTATGTTTTCGCTCAAACAGCATAGTATGGCGGGTAGGAATCGTATTACTGTACATTATGTTATATCTGCCAGAAGTTGAAAACCTAAAAAATAAACGATTTCATGTCTAAAATAAGGATTGTTTACATTGCATATTTATTAATAGGTCAGTTTCGGATTTTATTTGGTTTGTACTCACGACTTGTGGCGCCCTCATTGATTTTCATTAATAAATAGACAAACTGTGCACAGGTAAATAATAACGTAGGTGTTCAAAATATGAAGATCAGACGTTCAGAAATAAAATATTTGAGCACAGATAACATATTTTCGATTTATTCATTCATTCAGAGCATAAAGTAGCCAAGATAATATCACGGGCTGTCCGTCGAGTTGTTGACGCGCCCATTGCCATGGCAACCGGAGGGAACCAGAATTGCATCGCTGGCGGTAGACAAATTGAAATTGTAATTTGATTGCGAAATGCTTCTGCAGTTTGTAATATTTTCCAAGATTTGAAAGCAATGACTTGGTTTATTCGGAATGAAGTGAGATATTTTAAAAACGGATATAAAATTATACGTTTGTCGTTTAAAAATAGTTAGAAATTGTTTTTAGTTCGAATGTACACAATATTCGAACTAAAATCTTAAACTATTAACTTAGTAGACATATCAAAATCTAACAAATTTCTTTTGTTAAATAGGTACTTTTCCTGTATTCATCACTGCTCAGGAAAACGACCCTTTAAGAAACACATTCTGCTTAACCGATAGATTCTATACAGCCACGATTTATACGAGTTATTAATAAACCGACCAACACTATGAATATTCCACCACAGACTATATAGAAACGCTTCCGCAGTTCATCAAAAGAAAATACGCAATCTTGGTAACAAATAAGTTATTTGTATGAGCGAGAAATATGAAGGTAACTTGTGTGATGAACGAATTCTTTTGCCACGTAAAATATTTCATATGGTAACACTGACTTATGTTTATTGGCTGCGTAAGAATATAGAAGTTTTCACATAATACAACACTTACGACTTGGAAAAGATTCGGAAAGTCATTCATGAACTCTTAAACGTTTGAAATGAAATATGGATAGATGCAGTGGAGTGGACATTGTTGCCCTAGCAATATGGATATGATCAGAATTATGATGCTATCTCCTCTATTGGAGTGGTAACAATCGTGACTGCAGAAATAGGGCCTAGGGAAAAAATACTGATGGTTTTCTAATTTTAGAAATGTATTTGTTTCGCCGTTTACTTATTTTCATGGGACTTGGTAAACGAGCAGACGGATCAACTGATGGTAAGCAATCAGCGTCGCGCAAGTTACTTACCGGCCTTTTAGGGATTAGGAATTTGAAGATTGTCGGTGATTCAAGGATTGAGGAGATTGGGTTGGGGGGAGAGTAATTGGGCTTCCGTTTGTGCAAAACACAACGCAAGCGTTGTTTCACGTCGGTTTACTGTGAGGAGGAAAATATTACACAAGTGCCTACTTTAGGACATACAACGCATATGATGTTGTGTTAGAACACAATAAAGATATGCCTGTTAAGCAAGGGATATGAAATCATGGTCCTAGGTTACTAGAAAAAAAAAGTCGTTTTGGCTCAGATGTTTAAGACGCTGGCTTCTCATGCATGAGAATGCGGGTTCGAAACCTACCAACGGCAAGTACCAATGTGACTTTTTCCGAGTTATATGTACTTTCTAAGATTATTTAGACACCACTGACAAACGGTGGTGGAAAACATCGTGAGGAAACCTGGGCTTATAATTTCTAATTATAAGTTTGTAATCGCCAACCCGCATTGAGCAAGCGTGGTGATTAATGCTCAAACCTTCTCCGTGTGAGCAGAGGCTTTGCTTAGCAGTGTGCCTTTATAGGCTGTTGATGATGATGATGATGATGAGCTTACTAGAAAATACGTACCAAAGTGAAAATGACTCTAAATATCCAGCATAGAAAACCGACGAAACTTTTCCATTTCCCACCATTGTTTTTAAGGCTTCATGTAATAAATTACTTCCCAAACGCGGCCATTTTGACGGCAAGCTTACCTTTCACGTTTGGGCAGTAAACCGATCGTTAAAAAGGTTTGTTTTGAGTGCTAAGCTTTTAACAGTCCCCGTTTATGTCGAAATGAGACGTATACGAATCAGAGCCGGTAGAATTTTCATGGATCTATCTGTGTTCCGGTTTTTATGTCACCGATAACTTTTGCTTGTGAAATGGGATGGTTGTAGAATTCGCACAAAATAAAAAAATGTCGGATTGGTAAATTTCGAGCGGTTCCAATATTGATGTTTGACTGCGAAATGCTGCTTTCGGAATTCTGATAGCAATTCGTCTCTTTCGAAAGTTCGAATGTTATTTAACTCGTCGAGTACCGGTTTTATAGACACAATTAAAGAACAATAGGTCGCGGTCACCGGTGACCGCTTGGTTGATTTTTTCATAATCTCCTTATCATATTATAAAAAAAAATATAGATCACGTTTATAGAAAGGATTTTCACGTTAGGCACAAAAATATAATATTTATTTTTCATTTCTATGTACCTTACCTTCGTCAAAATAAATAAGATAAAATGTAGCTCCAAGAATTTCAAAAAATAAATAGTTTGACAACATGATATAAAAAAAATTACGCGTGTTGGAGGTTACAGTATAGTACATGTTTCTTTTTAAAATTGCCTTTGAGTGCAAGACTACATAGATTCTGTTTTCAGTATGTACCTTTATATTTTTGGATGCACAAAATTAATCCACAAGATAAGTCACTGACCTCTTAGGATAAAAAGGAAAATCGTAAATGTCTTTTAAAAAGTTTTACTTTTATTTATAGGATAGGATCTTAGGGGTCCATGGGCTTAAGGATAGTGGTTCCTTAATTTAGATTTATATATTTACATCGTGACTGAAAAATGTTACAACTGATAGTATATTTTATCGACTATCTTTTCTTTCAGGACGATATGAGGAAATATTTAAAAAAAAATGGCTTAAGTAGGTATAGATTCTGGTGGCTAACACTAATAGAAGTAGCATGCTTTTAGTTATATTCTTCTAAATAGTACAAAAGGTATTGGATATTGGAGAATAGTAGACTAAACAGAAGAGAAGAAACATAGAAGAGGGAACTGTAGAACCACATTGAAAATTTTAAAACAAAAACAATAATTACAATTTATTTTTCAAGAAAAAGTAATTAATAGAGTTTAGGAAAATAATAAATAGTTCCAGTAAAACATTTATACAAACCCATGCAACACAACATTTAGAAGAAAAATTTAGATTTCAAACATATTTCATGTAGGTAGAAATAGGAACAATGTTTGTAGAGGAGAAATACAACATATAAAAATGAAAAAAATTAAGTCAAAGTAAAAAAATATATGAAAACACACACACACACACACAGTGGTTTATGAAATAATTTGACCTCAATCATAAAACGATGTGTTTTAAAAAGCAGTTTATGATGAAAAAAAAATATTGTAAGTAGTGTATGAATAGATTTCAAGTTATTCGTATATTAGTTATGCAAGTAAACTAATGTCGGAATACTGAAATGCTACTCAATTTTAAGTCGCTTAAGTATAGTTCTATCTCTACAAATTCTTTGTAAAAAGACAGAGATGGCACGATATTTGAGCACGACTTAAAATTGAGTAACATTTCAGTATTCCAGCATTAGTGAAGTATACTAAAATATTTCGCAATCCTCTTCGACGATTCGAGAAACTATGTTCTATCTAGTCATCATCTCTTTTTGTAATAGTGACGACGATGATGGTGATTTTCCTCTATCTCATAGCTATTCCTTATATTATTTGCATAAATACAGTATTCAAATGTGGAACAACGAATTAGTAGTAAACATCTTTGTAGTCTATGTTAATTGTGAGTCCGAAATGTAGCGAAGTGTAGCATTAAAATACAATGAACATTTGAACATTTCCTCCGTCGATATGGACTGTAGAATTGTGTAGAACATCATGAAATTGTTTCAACTTAAACGGAATGTGAATTTAGATGTTCACATTTAAGTAGTATTTAGGCTGTTCAGTTTGTTTATACTAAGACGGACTAGGGTTAGTTTCGTGTAGTACAAATTAAATTATAATTTGTTTATAAATATAGTTTTAATTATAATTGTATTAGTGTAGGGTTTTATATATGTAACAAAAAAGGTTTTGAATGAAACGTATATTCTCTTCTCTTCTAAAAAAACGTTGCCCCACATTAGGATTTTCTCCTGTGTCGTGGGTGCGTTTACAAACATACAAGTAATGACAGACCAGGAAAAACAATTTTGTGGATCACACAAAGTGTTGTTCCGTGCGGGAATCGAACCCGCGACACGTTGCACGGCAGCCGGTTGCCCAGCCACCACACCAACCGTGCAGTCAAATCAGTTTATTATTTGATTGCAATTGTGTTTTATTAACTTATTAGGCTATGATAAAATGTGTTGTTTTATGTAGCAAATAAGGTTTAGAATGAATTGAGTCATTTATTGTGTTTTCATTGATATGAAGATATTTATAAAAGTTTAATTTGTTTTTTGTATGAAATTATTTCTGTCTGGCAAAGAAAGTACAGAAGATTACATAATGTCTAATGCACTCGTTTCAAATAGTAGTCGTCATAAAGTCCTGCGCAATAATCTGGAGAAATTGATCCAGTGACATTTAACGACAAGAGAGGGAAATTGTAAGCAGTACAGGTTTGCAAAGATCTAAAACTACATTGTAAGGGAACTATTTGTGCATAGGGTGTTTTGTAAACTATCAAGGTAAGTAGTTACGAAACTACATAGTAATGTAAGGGTTACCTAATGCTTAAGTATTAGCAAGTGTCTTTAGTCTCGAAAACAAAATCCTAATAAAACTATATAACAGGAATATAGAACTGAAAAGGGGTTTTAAAAGATGACCAATGTTACTCACATTTTGATGTATAGAAGACATGTATTAGAAAACGTCATACTTCAGAATAACTAAAAAATAATAACAGTTTACTCATGTAAACATATTGAGAAAAGCTCTACTAGTTTCGAGTCACACAGGGACTCTTCTTCATGAGCAACGTGCAATGTCGCCGCGACCAAGTGATTAAAGCGTTATTTTTAGTTAATTCAGTATTTCTTACTATAGTTATTATAAAAATATCACTTTGGTTTTCTGTGTACTTTTACTCAATTTACTAAATGTCACTTGTTTGCCACAAACGGCTTAATGTTATTTTGTCATAGTATCTATCTAAATCGCGTTGCTTTTTCCATTTCGCTCCACTTTATTTAAAAAAATACATGTATGTATGTAACATTGGCCAATGTATAGACTGTAGAGGAATAGTAATCATCGTACAAATGACGTAAGCGTGAAGTGTTGGATGCGCGGGAGTCGAAAACAAACGACGACAGACGAAAGGTAACGTGCACGATACGTGGCAGCTGTGGCGATAGATAATTTACATCTTGGAAAATTTTCATGTAATTGAGGAATAGTATATCAAGTGTTATTAAGAAATGTTTTGGTTTGGTATTCTCTTTCTAATTAATCAAATACTGTCAATAGCTTTTCAGCCACGTTTTCAGTTTTCCCCCATATCTGACAGACTTTTTTTTAAGGGGGGAAAATCATCAAATTACTGCTCCTGCCTGGGTGAGACGGGAGGGAGTGTCAGACTCTTACTGACTAAAAACCACCCCGTTCCTACTCATGCACGTCGAGCCAGAGCCCCGGTTGCCCGTTAGGTTCTCCGCGACTATCTGATAGACTTGGTTATGCTCAAAGGAAAACATGTAACACTTGTATTACAGTCACAGTCTGAATTTAAATTGAAAAGTCTCTGAACTTTCACGAAAAGTTGTCATGTTATAACCTGACTTAACATTTTCCTCAAAACTTACTCAGTTTCTGGTTTTTACATTAAAATCAAGGCACATATGTCGTATTCTACGAGATATGTACACAATTATATGTAGGGAACATGCTTAACTTTTAATTGTCAAAACAGTCAATCAGTCTCTGTGCATGCAAGTGAGAAGCCGCTATGGCTTTGTACGAAATAAATCGAACATTTTTTTTTCTATTTTTAAAATGACAAGATGTATTCCTATTGCCACAACTGCCACATTTGTAAAACCGTGCTTACTAGGAGGGGTGCCGTTGCGGGGCGCGGGTGGTGGCGGGGGGCGGGGTGGTGCTTCCTCTCGTGGAGCAGTCGCGCCTCCCGGTGGACTCGCCACTGCAACATGAACCAACAGATTATGAACAAGAACATGATATATGAGTGATAGTTTCTAATGCATAGAACGTGATGAAGTAGGTACTGGAGTAAGAAGTAATTTTGAACTATACCTTATTTCCGATATTTAGAGACTAATTTTCTATGAACAAATGATGTGGATTTTTCATAGTCAATCGGACATTTACGAGTTAATTGATGGAACAATGTTTATGAGTAATGTTTAAATGAGTACAGAAGATATATGAAAGAGAAGAAGTATAGTTAATGTCCACCCAAATTTTATGATTCTTTAATTATTACCATATATTTATTTAAACTTTCTCTAAAATTACTATTTTAAATACTACAGTATAAAAATAATGTTTAAAAATATAAAAATAGGAGCCGACCAGTAGTGGGAGCATGGTCCAAGCTACCGGTGGTTAGGGCTCCACAGACAGAAACCTCCTCACAATGCGCGCAATAATTATTATATTATTATATTATTATGTTACTTCAAACGATGCTGATCATTATGTAGCAATGGCAAGGGTTTAAATCTAAATCTGTTAAACCAAACTCAAGATTTGACTATGCTACTACTTATTTTATCACGCAACCCATGTTGTAGTATTACATAAAATTTTTGTTCTTATTCATAGCAGTTCTTTTCCTAAACCGATTACGTGGTCTCTGAAGCCCGAAATGCGATTTCCGATGACGAGTTTTTCCAATAGTAATTTGCTCAGTTACACACGGAGTCTGTAACTATGTCCCATATTTCTTTATTTTTTTTAATGTTTTTTCCTTTCGTAACATAATAAGGTTATATTTTCTGAACGTTGAAATGTATAAGTCGAGTTATACTGCATAACATTCAGCGTTGCGCCCTACTTTACTCTTACTTAACTAACTTAGTTACTGGAGTATACATTTTCAATCACACAGGTTTGTTTGATGTGAGCTTTCTGCATAATTGGAGGTGGGTACTGAGTATAGTTATGCAAAGTTGCAGATTTACTGAGCGAACGATGTGTTCAGTAACATGAAGCGCTACGTGATACTATAACGATCAAATCTTGTGGTAAATTATAGCAAATATTACTATGGTAATATGTAGAGAGATGTAACAGATATTATTATGATTGAAATAAAACTGCCTCGTTGGTCGAGTGGTCGCAAGTGTGACTGCCGGGGCAAGGGGTCTCGGGTTCATTCCCGGGTCGGGCAAAATACTACTGAGTTTTTAAAATTCTCAGTAGTAGCACGGAGTCTGGAAATGTACCCGGTATATGGCAATAGGCTCACCCCCTATTACATGGGATTTATAACATAAATAGTGAAAAGTGAGTGTTACATTGTACAGTGGCATAATGTGCACCTTTGCCTACCCCTTCGGGAATAAAAGACGTGATGTTATGCTAAGTTATAGACAATACATTGTGTCTCGCGGAGGTAGATCTGCGTGCGTTCCGGCATATCATGGGTTAAGTCCAGTCTAAACAATTAAGCTTTGTAAAGTAAATACGGCTACCATCTTATTCGTAGTATTCGATTTATAAGACCATATGTGGCTTTGAATCTTTCATAATAATTAATACACTGAATCGACCGCAATTAGTACTGATAGCACAGTATAAACATATACAGTAGGTTGTCTAAGGCCGCCCGCCGAGTTATTAGCCTACTCTTGCGTTGATCCCCAGGGTTGTCACTTTTACTTTTAGTTAATATTTTCGAACAAGCAGCACTTGATCTAAATTTATGAAATGAAAAGCATATTATGATTGAATATTTTATCAATTTATAAATTTAGTAAAAATAAAAAGCTTATAAAAAGATTATTAACTTCTTAAAATAAACTTTAGCTCTATACATAGTATTCAGAAAGTAAATTTGGGAATACATTTATATGGAAAAATGCGACTCGGCTACGTTCTTAACAAATCAGATAAACTGTGAAATAAACAATACAATACCACATTTTCTTATAATATTTAAGTATAGTAGGTAATTACATTTCTGGTTGAGTAGGAACTATGAAGAATGATAAGAGTAAGAATAAGTAAGTAGGTATCTCATCATCAAGTACCTACAAATTATATTATGCTAGAAAAAGTGACTAGCTTACCTTTCCTGTTCAATAGGTACCTAATCTGAACAGAGACAGTTCTGGAATCAATTAATTATTAAGACACCCAAACACACAGCAATACGTTCTTCTACGATTATCAGACATTTTTTATTTCATTGAACAGTGCCGAAAAGCCGTGAAGCGCGCGCGAACCCCGTGCAGTGTTAGCCCTGCCTGGCGCACTGAGAAACGGGTCGAGATTTTGTTAAAGTGTGCGTGCGTCGACGCATAGATACTATGGCGCACACATATAAGCCGCGCGCGGAGCATTTGTATGAAGATAACCTACTTTGTTCTTTATACTATGCTGATAGTCTAGTATAAAGTGATCTCTTAATACAGGTAGAATTGATATGATTGAAGGTCGATTTATGCTGGAGAGTGCAGTTTGATTTGTTTCTCTGTCACAGACACATTGGGGAGAGCATTCAGTGTTTGTAGGTTTTGGATGCTAGTAACTTTGTTTGTAGTCAAACTTAACGAGAATTCAATCTCTTTGATGGCTGCAGGGATCAGTTCAGTTCGGTTGTGGTTAGAATTTAGTCGTTTGATATTAGTTTGCATTCAGTATCATATAGATCGAATGAAATTTCGAATTCAATTCCCCTTTGTGTTTCGTTTTAATATAACCATTTTAAATCTAGATTATTTATGATTTAATCCACAGTCCATCACGTAGAGATTACGTGAATAAACATTTTATACATTCTAATCAAATAAGTATATAAGTACTTTTAATGGAACACGCAACAGCAGTTATAAACCATTTTTTATTTATTTTTAAGTTTATTATATCTACGTTATTCCCTAAAACAATATAAAAAAGATATACCTAACCTACAATCTTTTTGAATTTTTTTTTGTTTCAGGTTCGATTCCCGGATCGGAAAGTATTACTGGGTTTTTGAAAAATTATCAGTAGTAGCATGGAGTCTAGATCTGTGCCCAGTATATGGCAATAGGCTCACACCCTATAACATAAATAGTAAAAAGTGGGTGTTACATTGTACAGTGGCGTAATGTGCACCTCTGTCTACCCATTCGGAGATAAAGGCGTGATGTTATGTTTTGTGTCTTTTTGCCAAAATTATATCAATTATAACAGAACCATTTTATTAATGTTCACTGAAAACAATTACGTGGGTAACACAAAGCATTTTAGATATTGACATAAATCCATTGTAACACTGCACGCACACGATCACAAATTTAATTAAGTTATCGAATGATGTCCGTGATAATACTATAATGATAACGGTTAGTAGTGATTGCTAATTTATTGTCGGACATTGGTTTATGGTTTTGTATTCACATCATCGTCAAATTAATTTCGTTTGTATAATAACTATCATCATGAGACATGCTGAATTAACTAAATATTACGAGTTACTCACGTAAATATACTGAAAAAAGGTCTTTTAAATGGGACAAACCCGCCACAACCTCCCAAAACCGCTGCAACTCCTGTAAGCCAGGATCTACTACTGTAGATTAGATCCTGGCTTACAGAAGTCCAGCGCGTCTCAGGGACATAAATAACTGTCTTGGTTCACGCAACGAAGTGAATCAGAAGATATTATAAGAGGAGAAGAAAAAAAAACTGAAAAAGGTCTAATGGTTTCGAGTCACAGAGGGACTGATTCTTCTCAGTACATTTACGTAGGTAGATCGTATTTTTTTATGGGATAGCCGGTAAAGGCGCTGACGGATCACCTGATGATAAGCAATCGGCGTCGCCCATGGACACCTGTAACACCAGAGGCGTTACAAGTACGCTACCGGCCTTGGGGATTCAAGGGTTGGGGAAGAGAGGGGAGAGGGGTAATTGGGCCTTAACCTCACTCACACGACGAAACATAACGCAAGCATTGTTTCACGTCGGTTTTCTATGAAGTCGTGGTCTCTAAAAACAGGTTCACTCCGGTCGAGCCGATACATTCGTGGCGAAGCATGACACTCCCTCCATGATCTTATGTATATACATATACTTATTATATATTCCCTACCATAAGTTTATCGTGAAATTACATTAATATATTTTGCTATCGACTTGACTGAGCTAGGCTAGTCGTTAGAGAGTACTAATATCTCTCGTCTTCTCTTACTTATCTCAAGTTTTATTCCGTGGTCGCGCTATGACTTTCAGATTATTGATTTTTAAAATTGTTCAACAGTGGGTAATATGGTCGGATCAGGTACGTCTTTAGAGAATAATCAAAACGAGGTTGTGTTATTGACGTTTTAAAATAAACTAACAGATGTTTAGTATCATAAAAGTAAAGTTAGTATATATAATTATATAAGGTTGAATTGAGAACCTTCTCCTTTTTGGAAGTCGGTTAAAAAGTAGCCACCATTTTAACCATTATTTTATTTGCTAACAACGGAAACTTTGTTGCATAAAACCGGGAAATGAATTTCCAATTTCTTCTTTCCAATGCTATCCAATATTTGTTCAACGACAGCTTCCTTCGTGTGAAAACTTTGAAAGTCTTATTATTTTAACCGAATGAATTTCAAACAATATCATACGTAACTTGTATGATCTTTGTTTCACAAGTATTATTTTTCATAACGATTTCTTTCTTTAAAATATCAATAGAATACTTTAAAATATTATTTATTAACTGAGGTATCTATACCTCAATTTTTCCATAACACAAACATAATTTAGACAAGAATGAAAAATTAATAATTTCATTTTTGTTCTTAATTAGAATAATCGCTAAATTTGTAATCACTACATAGTATAAAACAAAGTCGCTATCCGCCGTCTGTCTGTCCCTAGCTACGCTTAGATCTTTAGAACTACGCAACGGATTTTGATGCCGTTTTTAGTGATTCATAAGATGGGTTTATATGTATAATACATACATATAACACC